CTCTGCGCGGTGCGGCCTCGCTCCTGCCTGCCCTGGCTCGCTCCCCTCTCGCCCGCTCACCCTCCTGCCGGCTCCGAGCAGCCTCCACTACGAGCCGACGACTCCGGCTCCGGCGGCCTCCCTACCCCAGCCTCGCTCTGGGCGCCGTGACGTCACCTCTGTGACGTCACCGGAGGGGCGGGGCCGGTGGCGAAAAGGGCGGGGCGCCGCCGCGGCGTGGACTCTCCCGGAGGCTTCTGGGAGCTGTAGTTCCTCTTTCTGCTGCCGCCGGCCCGCCCTCTGTCCCCTCCCCCAACTTCCCCACGGACTTCATCGCTCAACCGCCAGCGTCGTTAGCATCGTCCCAAACGACAACAGCAACTAATGAAAAGATTATGACCTTCGTGGGCTTGAGGGTGATGAACCTCCTTCTCGCGCGCCCTGTGAGAAAGGCTGTTGGATTTGGAGGAGGCCGAGGTAGCAATTACTCGGAAAGGCACCAAAACCTGGAAACCCGCACACCAGCAGTTTCCCTGCCCTCGGCCCCTTCCTCGGATGGGGTCTGCTTGCTGGGATTGGAGACCACAGCAGGGCTGCCTCACAGGTTTGCACCCCAAGGTTCAGCACACCGCTCGCACGCAGGGCCACCATTTCAAGGATGAGGACTGAGCTGGCAAGGTGGCGAGGCCAGAGATAATTTAGTACTCACATCCTTATCCTCCCGAGTATGCGGTGACCTCGCAGAGTGCTTGACTGACAGGAGCAGAAACACCCCAAATATGCTGAAGTTCGGGACAAAGATCATTCTGCTCTCCAAAGTCCTCCAGGAAACTTATGTATTCATTCATTCAAGAGATATTTACTGAGCACCTCCTACGTGCTAGTAGTGTTGCCGGACATGAGGATCTAAGTCCAGGTGCTAAGAAAGACGAAATGTGCACAGCCCTCCCAGTATGGTCTGCGGTTCCATAGTGTCAGCATTGCCCAGAGCTTGTTAGAGATGCAGACTAGAGTTCCACTTCAGATCTACTGCACCAGAATGTGCACTTTAACAAGAAACCCAGGTGATTCCTGTGCACAGTGACATTTGAGGGACACTGCTCTCCAAGGTCTTCCAAAAGAAGGGATGGTGAACCTTGCCGTCAATGAGACAAAGGGGGCGGGAAAAAGCGTTCCAGGCAGCTCCTATATTTACATTAGATTTCACTGCCATTTATTTTCTTTTTATTATTATTATTTTTTTGAGTTGGAGTCTCACTCTGTCGCCCAGGCTGGAGTGCCGTGGCACACTCACGGCCACCCCAGCATCGACCTGCTGGGCTCCAGCAATCCTTCCACCTCAGTCTCCCAAGTAGCCAGAATTACAGGTGCACGCTACCAGCCCAGCTAATTTTTTATTTATTGCAGAGACAAGTTCCCGCCAAGTTGCGCAAACTGGTCTCGAATCCGCGGATTCAGGCAATCCTCTCACCCAAAGTGCTGGGCCTCCCAAAGTGCTGGGATTATAGGCTGAGCCGCCGAGCCTGGCCTGCCATCTATTTTCAAAAGTGTTATCTACTCCACATCCTTAGAACACACTTGCACATGTCAGACCACGTGGTGCAAGTTGAGTTCTCTTCCCAACCTCCTATACACACGCAACCCAGGCAGCAGCAAGCCGCTTGAGGTGAACATTCCATTCCCCAAAAAGACAGGCTATTTTTTGTGAAATATACATAACATATAAAGTACCATTTTAACCATATTTATTTAATATAATTCAGTAGCATTAAATACATTCACAACGTCGTGTATTTCCAGAACTTTTGGTTCAACCCAAATGGAAACTTAACCACTAAACAATGGCTCCTCATCCCCACTTCCCCCTTGGCAACCTGTCTTCTATGTTCTGAAAAAGGCGGGCTCTTGTCACAGCTTCTTCCAGATTGCACATAGCATGCTGGGCCGAGTCAGTGGTGTTTACAACGAATTGATCATAACCAGCCACAGATTTCCTCATTCCTTCTCTCCTCTCATTGCTTCACTTGACTAGCCTTAAAATATAATAATATGATTAAGCCAAAATCAACGGCACACAGCAAATCTGTCCGAAGGAGGACATGTCTACGTGAAGAGATTTCTAGCTCCCTTTATTGGATCACATTGTTAAAGGGAGATAAAGACAGAGCAGAAATAAGTCTTAATGTCTGTGTCCCCTCCCCCAGGCTCTTTCGGCTAGCTCCCCTCCCAGAATGCCTCCCTGCTGTCCTTCCCCTGATTCACCCTAAGACAGAGCTAAGACCATGGTTCAAGCTTGGGTGGACTTGAGAACCACCCGGGGAGCTTATTAAGCTCACAAACACCCAGGCCCCCCTCTGGGAGTTCTGATTCAGAAGGTCTGGGGTGGGGCGTGGACACCCACGTCTTTAACAAGCTCCCAGATGATTCTGATGCAAGTCAAAGTTTGAGAACCACTGCCTCTAGGATTCCAATAAACAGAGCCACTTTCAAAACACCCACCTGCCCACTTCAAGAGGACCCAAGGTGTGTCTAGAACCCAGACTGTGGAGTCCAGAAAGGACAGGTCAAGAAAAGGACACCTGAGAAGGACATGGGGCAGAGCCTAGACATTGTCCCTGGTGCTTCGACCTTCACCGGGGCTCTGATTGCCTCAACCCAAGTGCTGGGCAAGAGTAATCAGAGGAGTGTTTAGTTCGAGAACATGCTACAGACAGCACTGGAGAAGGTGGGGCAGCTCTCCCTGGAAATGCAGTGGTGATGAGGGGTGGTGTGTCTTCAGCAAGCATTGTGTCGGCTCTGGGCTGCTTGGGCAAAGCTGCCCGTCCTCAGCTCCTAATGGTGCCTCAGTTAATGACACATTTCCTCCCTGGGCCTCAGTTTCCTCAGCTTTAAACGTAGCTCATAATGCCCTCCCCACTCGAGCGGGCTGAGGGAGTAAATAGAAAAGATGGCTGTAAAAGCCCCTTGTAAACTGTAAGTTGCTTCCATAAGGGTGATTTGAAGCTGGATCACACAGCGTCATGCGGTAGCACTGGCTGTGGTATTGTCATGTAATTATTAGCACCAGTGCCCCTTGGCCCCACTCCTTACACATTGTGCGTTATTTGAGGAACAGGACATTCACTTTGTGAGAAGCTTTTCTTTTTTTCTTGCCTAGACAGGTCTTGCTATGTTGCCCAGGCTGGTCTCAAACTCCTGGTCTCCGGCAATCCTCCTGCCTTGGCCTCCCAAATTGCTGGGATTACAGGCATGAGCCACTGGGCCTAGCCATGTGGCAGGGAGGGGGCTCTTTTTTCTGAAGACATCATGGCATCAATTCGCCCTCTGTGGTGAAGATATGTTCACATTTTTACAAGACACCTTTTCTCTCTGGGCATTCTGCCACTGGTTCCTGCATAAATCCACCTCCCCTATCCTGACCTCCTTCTGCTGCCGCTATAACCTTTCCAGAACTGAGCGGGCCCTTGACCAGATAGAGTCGAAAGCTGGTCCCAAAAAGCAGAGCTGAGTGGCCACCAGGTGCAGCTTACTGGGGCTTGTGA